GGATTTGTGTTCAGGTTGATCTGGTGGAAAACCGGTGAACCTTTCGCGACGCCCTCTCAGTCTCCCTGTCTGTCTGTCTCTGTAAATTAGGGGCAGTAACAATGCCGAGGACAGATGAAAGAAACCGTGTTCAGGGTTTAGCACACAGGGAAAGCTCAGTAAAGGAGCTGAGGAGGTGTTTGTTAGTTGGCGAGGTGTTTGCTGTGCCAGCACGAGGACCTGAGTTCAGGTCCCCGACCCTCCTGAAAATCCAAGTCCAGTGGTGTGTGCCTGTGACCCCGACCCTGGGAAGGTAAAGGCAGGAGGCGCCCTGAGGTGTGCTGATCAGCTAGCTTAACTCAGCTGTGAGCTCTAGGGTCATGGGGAGACCCTGTCTCAAAAAATAAGGTGAAGAGAGATTGTCGAAGATATCTGACCTTCACTGTGCCCGGCACATACCCACAAGGGCATGTACACACACACACACACACACACACACACACACACACACACACACACAGCTCAGTAAATGTCAGTGATTATTAGTGTAGTGGAGAAAGACCCACAAACGGGTTAATCATTTTCAAATGTCAGTAGCTCAGGTAACCGTTTAACCTGCTGGAGACTAAGAGTGGGAGGGGAGTGGGGCGGCCCTGCCATGGGGGAGGGGGGGGAGAGCACTGGACATAAGGGTTGATGCAGGCTTCCAAAGAGTCTGTGTGGCCTGGGAAACAGCTGGGCGAGTTCCACCTGTGAATTTGCTTCTTCCACGAGGGAAAATGAAGAGGATGGTGGGCAGCACAGGGGAGGACCTTCTTGCTGTTGATCTCAACTTGGAACCATATAAATGCGTTGAGCCTTCGAAGAAAAGGAGGAGGAGAAAGAGGAGGAGAAGAGATAATTGCATTGAAGAAAGTTTTACCAACGGGGATACGAATTGACTTCCATATTTTATACAGTAGTTGCCTGTCTCCCGTCTCCAAGGGCAGGCTATGGGCAGGGGCTAGGGTGCCTTTAGCTTGATTCATTTAAAAGATCTGATATTTTAATACTGGCCATCCTCTCTCTCTCGTCATTTTTTAAATTTTTATATGTATGGGTGATTCCCCTCCATGTATGTCTTTGTGCCATGTGTGTGCAGTGTCATGGAGACCAGAAGAGGGTAACGGACCCCCTGGGAATGCAGTTACAGGTCCTCTGGAAGAGCTCCAGTGCTCTTAACCCATGAACCATCCCTCCAGCCCTTTAACTCCCATTAAAAAAAAAAAAATCATGTCAGGGTTTGGTGGAGCACGCCTGTAATCCCAGCACTGGGGAGGCAGATGCAGGTGGCTCTCTGTGAGTTCCAGGCCAACCTGGGCTACATAGAACGTTTCAGGCTAGCCAGGGTTACATAGTATGACTCTGTCACCAACCAACCAACCAACCAACCAACCAACCAACCAACCAACCAACCAATCACTAGTTTAGTATATAGTATAACACAGACTGGAGTTTAATTACAGTCCTGTGCCAAAATAAACTAAAAATCTATAGCCCTTGTAGGGGGCTGAATATCTCACTCTGTAGATTGCCTGTAAGAGTGGATTTCCTTGGTCAAGGCCAGTGAGATGGCTCAGAGAGAGAGAGAGAAAAAAAAAAACTTCCACCAAGACTGACGGCTTGAGTTTGATCCCTGGACACCATTTGGTGGGAGATGAGGACCAGCTGCTGACAAGGTTTTGCCCTCTGACCTCCATGTCCCAACCATACACACAAAAAATAAATACGCTTTTTTAAAAGGCGATTTCATCGGCTAAATGTGGCCTTTCTATTATCTATGTCTTTATTGGTGTTTTTCAATCATTTAGGCCAAAGATGATTTCTGCTTCAATAATGTCAGACCTGTGTGTGTGTGACAGGACTCCATTAAAGACAAATTTATGGAAGGCTTGTAAATATTAATTCGTTCAAGCCTTGCCGTGTCAGTTTATGGTAGGTGTCACCATTCCAGAGGGCAAGAAGCAAGTCCCCGGCCCTCTGCAGCCCGTGGTCTTGGAGTCCCTGCAAACCTGCTCTTATGATTTGACTTACTCCACAGCCTGGGGGACCTTATCAGTTCGGGTTTGTTATCTGCCCCAGGGAGGGGCTTTTGTTGGGAGACCTTTCCTCTCCTAGTGTTGTGTGGGCGATAAGTGCTGATGTCTGGAGGCGGAGGGGCTCAGGTTTGGAGGCTGGGTAAGCTTTCTCCAGGATCTCTTGAGGAAACCCAGAGTTTAGAGGTGTGAAGCCAACCCCCTCAGGGAACACCAGGCTGGAGGCAGTCAGTGGTGGTGCTCAAGCTTGGCAAAAGGCTTCCTTTGGGGCCAGTGCCCTGACAGTGACAGCCGGGCTGCCAGAAGGTCTAGAGAAAGGCCCCCTAACGCTTAGGGAGGCAGAGATAGAGGTTGGTTAAGTTCTAGAAGGCTCCTCAGAGGTAGGGACAGTGGCCTGGAACACCGAATGTCCAAAAAGAGCTAGTAAAACCAGGTAGGCGAATGGTTAGGGAGCTCCACTCAGGAACAAAGCAGTGACAAGCCTTATGACTGAAGGAAGAGAGGGCTGCAGAGTTGAACCCCCCACCCGGCCACCCGGGGCTGTGCCTCAGGAACCTGCTGTATTCTCAGAGCAGCAGGGAGGACCTTAGCAGGGCTTAAAGGGCGGTACACTTGGGAAGCGTGGCAGTCCGGATCAAAGAGAAGATTGGCAAAGTGAGGGGGAGAGGCTGCGCTCCCTGCGACCCTGCTCGCTGACCAAGGCTCTTTGCCTAGCTGGAGGGTCACCGAGCCAAGCAGACCCGAGCCCCTTCCTGTTTCTTTCGTGGGGGGGGGGGCTCTCTGGCTCAGGTGTTTTAGAATTTACAGGACTAGACGCGAGGGCTTTCCAGGGCTGAAGATGGAGAACCGTGACCCCTCCAAACACACCCACCCCACACGCGCGCGCGCGCGCGCGCACACACACACACACACACACACACGCACGCACGCGCGCGCGTAGGCACATCACCTCCGCTGCTTTTGGCAGCGGCCCCTTCAACCCATGACCTCATGCTTTAAGCTTCCATACAGTGTCTCTCCCGCCCTGTCCACACCCGGAGTTCGAGTGGAGTGGGGTGGGGGAGGTGGGGGGTGGCTTATCTCGCGCCAGATTTAGGGAGAAGGAGGCACAACGATTCCCCCATGCTGGAGAGGTAAAGGATGGTGTAACTTTTCCTCGTGGAAAAAAAAGAGAGAAGAAAAACAAAAACAAAAACAAAAAAAACCCCAAAAAACCCCGAAAGACCCACTCGCTGTCCCACGGCTCCTCGGACAGAGATGTCTGGATCTCCGCGCGAGGCGGCTGGGTCCGTTGAACCATCTTTTGGAGCACGTTTCCAAAGACCAGCAAAGAAGCGGGCAGACGGCTGGGGGGGCCGCGGCGTTGGGCTAGGGTCGTGGCCCCTGGACCGATCCGCAGTCTCCGCCGAGGTCTCGTTCGGGTCCGCTTCCGGGGCCAGCGTCCCCCCCGCCCCCCGGGGGTGGGGTGTTCGAACCCCCGGCGGGCACGCCAACCGGCGCCCTGCCCCCTTGCTCGCAGCTGCTCTCGGTTTGGGTGCAGCGGTTTTTTTCCCCCGCAGAGCAGGAGGAGGAGACAAGGCCAGGGCGGGGGGGGGGGGGGGGGGGCGAGTCCCGGGCTCGGGTTTCCGCGACCAATGCGGAGCGGCCCCGAGCGGCCCCCCGGCGGCGGGGACCTCCTCCCCGGCCCCACGTCCCACAGTCATGGCGCGGCGCACGGCGAGGGGCGGACGCACGGCCGCGCCCGCGCCCCCTCCTCCCCGCCCTCCCTCCAGCCCGCCTCTCTCCTAGGCAACCTCCCTCCCGGGCCCGGCGGAGATGGAGAGTCCTCCCCGCCCCCCGAGGGGCTGAGGGATGGAGGCGCGAGCTCGCCCGGGAGCCGCAGTTCTCTTCCTGGGCGCACCCCCCCTCTCCCCGGGTCCCAGGGAGGCCGGGCGGCGGCGGCGGCGGCGGCGGCGAGGGTTCGAAGCCCGGTCTCCCCCGCAGCCCGCCCGGACCCTGGCATCCTTGCAGCTCTCTAAATAAACCACCACCACCAAACGTCTCCCGACCCGAGTCGCTCGGCCCTGCAGCGCGCCTTCTGCAATCGCCGGCGGCAGCGACGCAGGAAGCAATCCCGCCGCCGGCCCGGGGTGGGAAGGCAGCGGCTTCCCGGCCACCGAGCCGCTCCCTCCTCCTCCTCCTCCTCCCGCCCCGAGGAGGGGGCGCTCGGCTCCCCCACCCCTCCCCGGCTCGGAGCCTCGGCTGCACGCCGGGGACTGACAGGTCCTCCTCGGGCCCGCGGTCCCCGCCTCCCGCGTCCGGGGACTCGGCGGCTCCCGAAAGGTGCAAGCTCGCGCGCGCACAACGCCGGGCGCGGAAAACAATAATAATAATAATAATAATAATAATAAAGACAACCGAAGTCGGCCGTGCACCGGCTCGGGGCGGCGGGGGGGCCGCGGACAATGCGCCCCGAGGCCCGCGCCGGCCGGAGCGCGGCGCCCCGGGGGACGGGCGGGGGCCGCGGCGGAGAGGCCGCCGCCGCGCCGGACACCTTACTTCCTGCTTCCCCGCCCGCCGGCCCCGGCTCTGCGGAGGGATATCTCTCCCCTCCTCGGCCCCTCTCCTCCCTCCCCCCCCCCCCCCCCCCCCCCCCCCCCCCCCCCCTTTTTTTTTTTTTTTCACCCCCCGCCCCCCCCCCCCCAACTCCACCCCGCCTCTCTCCTTTTGCAAGAAAATAATTTGACAGTCGATTTGCTGACAGGGGAGGAATTTGCATCCTGGATTTACAAAAAAAAAAAAAAAAAAAAAAAGAAAAAAAAAAAAAAAAAAAAAGGCCGAGAGGAGCTTAGGAACGGTTGCTAGGGGGTGGGTAAACGGGTGAAAGAGGGTGGGGTGGGTTGGGGTGCTTGTGTGTGTGTGTGTGGGGGGGAGCGGATCCGGAGGGCTCGGGGAGGGGGGCGCTTGCAAAAAAAAAAAAGGTAAGGGCAGGTTAGCGCGCGGCTCGGGCCCGAGTGGGCTGCGGCCGGGGGAGGGGCGAGAGCTGCATATGTATTTCTGTCCTCCCCTGCACACCCCTTCCCTCCGAGCGATGGCTGAGAGGCGGTGCATGCAGATGGGGAGTAAGTTTCCTGGAGGGGAGGGGGGCGGGAGCACGCGCGCCGCCGGGCGCCGCGAACCTCCACCGGGGAGGGGGAGAGCGGCTGGATGCGGAGAGTTTGGAGTCGGGAGGGCAGGGCAGGGAGCGGGGCCCGGAGGAGGGGGCGGAGGAGGGGGTGCCGCCGGGCGCCCTAGCTGGGAGTAAGTTTCCAAGAGCCGGGAGAGCCCTGCACGCTGGCTAGCTGGCTAGTAAGTTTCTGGCCGGGGAGGGCGCGTGGGGAGGAGGAGGAGGAGGAGGAGGGAGGAGGGGGAGGAGGGGGAGGAGGAGGGGGGGGGGGGGGAGCAGATTTCCTGCGGGGAGGCCGAATGCATATGGAGAGGAGATTTCCTGGAGGGAGGGTTGAGGCGTAGACCGGACCGAGTAAGTTTCTTGCTGGGGTGGTGGCTGAGGGTGGTTGAGTTGGTGCTTTGGGGAACCCTGAGCCTTCCCACCCGGGACTGGGGGGGGGGGGGCGGGGCGGGGGGGGCAGGTTCCGCGCTTGGGGAGAGGGGCTTGCATCTGGGGAGTATGTTTCCTGGCGGAGCGATATTTGTTTACAGGCTGAGGGCAGTACTGTAAATGAGGGAGAAGGCGGCTGACACGGATTAATATTGAAATTACTCCATCAGCTCGCCTCGCCCCCCAGCTCGCCCCCCGAGTGGAGACTGGTCGTCTTGTCGGATTGCCCAGGCACTTGTTGCCGAAACAGCCAAGGTAGGAGAGAAGCTTATTAAGTTTCATTAAAAAAAAAAAAAAATTAGTGGGAGGGGGATGCTCCGCCGGGAGGTGGGGGTGGGGTGCGGAGGGAAGCCTGTGGGGGACCAGCCTGCCGCGGCCTCTTTACTTTCCGGCTGTTACCGGGGCCCTTTCCCTGCTGGCCTTCTTCCCTGTTCCCTCTCCCGGCTCGTAGCATCCCAGCAAAGGGGGAGGGGTGAGGTGGGCGCTGTGACCGGCGAACCCCGGCCTCCAGGGTGTCAGCGGTGGGTTTGAAATGGAAGGTTGGTGTGTTATAAAGCCTCCATTCTTCCAGCCAAGAAACCGCAGGACCCCAGGGATGTGTCTTTTGGGGTTTTTGACGTGATGCCTATGTGTGTATATGTGAGTCCTGCGGGCTCGGTGGGGGCTGGGTAGTTCCCAGAAGTAAGTGCGGCCACCCAGGTGGGAGAGGTGTGTGGGGAGGCGAACTTGCCACCTCACTCCCCAACTTCAGTTTGGGAGTCTGGGAAGTTCCTGCCGAGGAGAAGCCCCAGTTGCAAACCAAACCACCGTTTTACCGATGGAGGCAGGGGCAGCACCTGGCAGGCGGCCTGTGCCAGCCCCCGGACTGGAGCTTGTGTGCCTGCCATCCTTGGGTTAAAGAAGAAAATGCCTCTGGGTTCCCTGTGCTCTGCTCCCGTAGAGTAGGCATGCTGTCAAACTCTTGCCCTAGACAAACGTTGCTTTGGCAAGTCAAGTGCTGTGTTGTGTTCGGTGCTTGGTCGCTGGTGGCCCTGAACTGTCTTGTGACGTGTGTGTGGAGGTCATGCTTAGGAATGACCAGCCCAGGCATGGCCCAGCACCTCAGCAGAGCATGCCTGGGAGGGGCACTTTGCCTTGGTCTTTTTCCTCAGGCGACAGAGGTGACTTTTTCTCTCAAAGAAAGGAGTTTGAAGTTGTCCCAGTTGGTGTCAATCGCCTGCACCTTTGGTACTTTTTCACGCTGGGAGTTCTGTGTGCAAATGTGCTTTGTGGCTCCCCAGCGTGCTGGCAGAGGAACCAGCACCGAGCTGGTTAAACCAGCAGTCTCTGCCTCTCCTTGCTTGCTTTCTTGGCACTCAGCCCTGCTGGTTTCTGCAGATAGTTTTACTTTGATGGGTGCTGGTGCTGGGAGTTGAACTTGACCAGGATAATTTGAACATCAGGGGGTCTGGCCAGGGACTGGTTAGTAGGGTTAAAGGCTTAACCAACCACACCGGGTAACTAAAGTCGGTTAAGCTTTCCCTAATTCTGTAAATGGGTTTTGAGTCTAGAAGGGGGAAAAAATGGGTTAAAACAAAACAAAATCCCTCTTTTTATGTTACCGATAGTCCGTTTTTCTTCTTTCCTTCCTACCGTCAGGTTTCAGGGTGGAGGGTTTGGGATCTGCCGGTTTGAAAGTTGAGTCAGTTAGAAATATTGGTGCTCCCTATCACGTGTTCCCAAGTAGGCATTAGCTAAACAAATTAGCTGTTATCTTTAACCCGATGGATAGCTGAGTCTGATTGGTGTATGTGCTGGGAGAGTAAACAGAATTCCTCATGTGTGTTTATTTCAGGGTGGAATTATTTACATGTCTAACCTGGGAGCCAAGAACAGTCGTTCAGTTTTTTTTCCTCTTTACATTTATGAGATTTATTTTATTGTCTTTCTTTGGCCATTAATCAAGTCACAGTAGCCCGCCCCCCCCCATTCAACTGAGAGCGTTTTCTTGGTAATCAAGGTTTGAAGGCCCAAGAATCATAATTGATTCTTTCTTTTTAAAATATTGTGACGATTGATCCCTGTAGTGACACACCCCTTTGGGCCTCGCCCTTTTAGGCATGTCCATTTTCGCCAGCTGATTGTTTAGAAGGCTGCCTGACATGGGGAGAGGGGGAGGGAGGGAGAGAGAGAGAGAGAAAGCCTTCGCCTTATGCGTTATAGGCACAGAGAAGATTAATTTTGCAGGTTCCAGAGTGAATGTGGGTCTTTTCACAGCCTGGTAAGCAGGCATCCACATAGCAGGCGTTTGCTAATATTGGAGCGTTTACGTAGAGCTTGGTGTGAAAACAGTCTCTATGAACTGTGCTGAAAGTACTGTGGTTTTTGTTGAGTTCAAAGAGGGGAGAGGGGACAGGGTGTTGTTTTCTGTGCCTCGTGTATACAAATGTGTGGGTATGAAAACAAAGCTTATTTAGGATTCTCTTTTCCTTCTTTGCCGGATAGGTTGATCGTAAGAACACAAAGGGTTTTATTTGTTTGTTTGTGTATTTATTTATTTATTTTATTTTATTTTCTTGCGGGAGTGGGCTGAGGTGGTGCACAGAAGAATTCTCTGTGAGGTTGATGGGGTGCTAAAATTGTCTTGTGTTTAGTAGTTGGTTCAAGTTTGTGAGCATTTTAAAGTGAGAACGTCTAAGGTGGCTGTATGCCCAAGGCAAGGCCAAGGTGTCTCTGAAAATGGACAGGGTACCAATTTCTAGCAGTTTCTGCCTTTAAGGGGGTGATTATTATTTTAAGAAGAACAGAGCTTTGGTTCCGGCTTTAAACCCCTGTCATGTGCAGCGTGGACCCAGAGCTCTTGACAGTGTCTTCCTGGGCCAACGGCCAAATTGCTTCATGGACTCCGGGCGAGTTGATTAACTTCTGTTTTTTTGTCTTCTCATGGAGAAATGGATTTGTAGGTTGGCATTCCACAAAAGCTCTTGAGCAGCCTGGCAACCGTGCCGACATGTAAGCCATTGCCCAGGCGAGCCTGCTACTGTTGTACGCTCAGTCATTCATGTATGTTTCACAGATTTCTTTTTTTAATTATCTCTAATCTCGCAGACATGTGCACGAGTGTGTATGTGGGTGCCTGCATGGGTGTCTGTGGGGCCCCCTGGAGCTGGCGTCATAAGCGGTGGTGCCGGGAATCGAACTCAGGTCATCTGGAAGAGCAGTAGGCACTCTTCCTGCGGAGCCACCGCTCCAACCCTGGGGCAGATATATTTAAAAAAAAAAAAAATCCTAATTATATGTGCTGATGGAGAGGGAGCTTGTACTTTCAGGTGCCCGAAATAATTTCAGTTCATCTTAGAAGTTTCCTCTGCAGCCAGCTGGCTGGATGAGCTAATGCTTAGTCAAGCCTGAGGTTAATTAAGCTGTTGTTTCCAGGCAGCAGGTAGCTCTGGGGAGGAGAAGGGGACCCAAGAGCTCAGTGTGGCCTAGCCTGCTTAACTGTGAAGAAGTCACGTGTGGGCTATTTCGATGTATCTAGATAGTGACGGGGTTCCTGCTGCTGATGTCTGGTCACTTCCAGGTACTGTCAAGTCACCACGGGCATTTCTGGAGAAAGCCCTTGGGAAAAAAAAAGAAAAAAAAATATTTTTTTAATTTAATTTTATTTTTTTGGCTGTTGACACACATACACACACAATAAGGATCCAGAAACGTGCTCTAGACCTCAGGCTGCATAAGACATGGTCCTGCTTATTTCTGAACTCAAACAAAAGAAAACAAAGCAAAACACCGTGTGGCTGAGCAGGGCAGAGGGCTGAAGGCTTCAGGGATCTTGTGGGTGACCATATTTTTAATATTTTCACATTGGAGGGCAACTGGTGTCACGAAAATGTAGTTGAGATTTTCTTTTTCCCCTAGGAAAGGGACTAGAACCAGCCCAGTTGCAGTTATTGACATGTTTTTAGGGTGTTGTGGGGTTGTGTGTACGTGTGTGTGTGTGTGTGTGTGTGTGTAGGTCAGAGGACAACTTGTGGGAGTCGGTTCTCTGCTTCCACTTTGTGGGTTCTCTATATTAGACTCCGGTTGTCAATCTTGGTGTCGTGCGCCCTCACCTAGCTGACCCTCTCTCCAGTCCTCTTCCCTTTCATTTTTGAAACAGAATTTCCCACTGACGCTGAAGCTTATAAATTCAGTGGCTGGCTGGTAGGCGCCAGGAAGCCATCTCCTGTCTCTTCCTCCTGGGTGCTGGGATTACAACCACCCACCACCACGTCTCCTTATGGATGTATTTTTTGGGTGAGGGCTGGAGATCTGAACTCACACTTGTGAGGCCGTCACTTTCCCACTGAGCCACCCCCCACCCCCAAGCCCTTCAACTTTGAGTTGTTCCATGATTCTTTTAGTAAATCTCTTCTAAGTGAAATGGTAGACACAGCCACCGAAAACAGAAAACCCCTCTGGGATGTTTTCTAAGAATGTCAAATTCTCAGAGTAGCCGCTCACAGGAATCCAGTCTGAGGAAATGAACATTTGAGTTTGTTTGTTTCCTCACAGAGGACGATAAACTAGGAGTGGTGTGAGAGTCACTGGGCTATTGCTCTACTGACATTGAAAATATTTTTAGAGGAAGTAGAGAGGAAAAAAAAAACCCTTTGGGTCTAATGGCTGTGAAATTTTTGGGGTCACATATGTATTATTATTATTTTTTAAATCTCTGCCTTGAGAAGCCCTGGTTTTCCTTTTCATATTAAGCAGCTACTCTTTCTTTCTTTCTTAAAGATTTATTTCTTTATTAATGTCTGTGTATCTTGTGTACGCCTGGTGCCCTCAGTGGCCAGAAGAAGGCAGTGGCTCTCTTGAACTAGAGTTAGGGGTGGTTGCAGGTCATCGTGTGGGTGCTGGAACTGAACCTGGGTCCTCTGCAGGAGCGACCTTTGCAGAGCTGTGAAGACCTCTGCTCTTCACAGCTGAGCCATCGCTCCAGCCCCAGTTAACTCACTCTTCAGTGATCACATGCTGTTTGCCCGTTACATTAAGGGGCTGGGAATCTTGGCAATTACAAGACAGGATTCTGTCTCTGCCCCCACCCCCCACCCCCGACTTTCTGGGGTGAACATGCCGCAGACTGTGATAAATGCTCTGGTGAAGTGCAGCCTCCGTGAGGAGTGGGGGGGGGGGGAAGACAGGGTGGCCATGCAGAGGAGAGCCTGTGTGGCCAGCTTCAGGGCTGCAGGAGGCTAGGAGAGCTCATGGGTAAGGGGGATGGAGAAAACTCA